AAGAAAAGTACTCAACATTCTGAATGGGCAAAAGTACACCGAAACCTGCCAAATAAAGACTTGGTATACAATTGGCACATCGAAAATGAACTTGTAAAATAAAATGTATTCTTGTCACCCAACTAGAATATATAGAGAGATAACCATCTGGGGAAAAGATCTATGAGAAAAACAACAGATACTCTAGATCAGCCTTTCCTAATCTTTTACCTGAAGGAACCCCTAAAATAATTTCCACTGACCCCCAATGTAAGGGACATTCTTCCCACTGACCCCCCAATGTAAGGGACATTCTTCCCACTGACCACCAATGTAAGGGACATTCTTCCCACTGACCCCCCAATGTAAGGGACATTCTTCCCACTGACCGCCAATGTAAGGGACATTCTTCCCACTGACCGCCAATGTAAGGGACATTCTTCCCACTGACCCCCAATGTAAGGGACATTCTTCCCACTGACCCCCAATGTAAGGGACATTCTTCCCACTGACCCCCAATGTAAGGGACATTCTTCCCACTGACCCCCCAATGTAAGGGACATTCTTCCCACTGACCCCCAATGTAAGGGACATTCTTCCCACTGACCCCCAATGTAAGGGACATTCTTCCCACTGACCCCCAATGTAAGGGACATTCTTCCCACTGATCACCAATGTAAGGGACATTCTTCCCACTGACCCCCAATGTAAGGGACATTCTTCCCACTGACCCCCCAATGTAAGGGACATTCTTCCCACTGACCCCCAATGTAAGGGACATTCTTCCCACTGACCCCCAATGTAAGGGACATTCTTCCCACTGACCACCAATGTAAGGGACATTCTTCCCACTGACCCCCAATGTAAGGGACATTCTTCCCACTGACCCCCAATGTAAGGGACATTCTTCCCACTGACCCCCAATGTAAGGGACATTCTTCCCACTGATCACCAATGTAAGGGACATTCTTCCCACTGACCCCCAATGTAAGGGACATTCTTCCCACTGACCCCCAATGTAAGGGACATTCTTCCCACTGACCCCCCAATGTAAGGGACATTCTTCCCACTGACCCCCAATGTAAGGGACATTCTTCCCACTGACCCCCAATGTAAGGGACATTCTTCCCACTGACCCCCAATGTAAGGGACATTCTTCCCACTGATCACCAATGTAAGGGACATTCTTCCCACTGACCCCCAATGTAAGGGACATTCTTCCCACTGACCCCCCAATGTAAGGACATTCTTCCCACTGACCCCCAATGTAAGGGACATTCTTCCCACTGACCACCAATGTAAGGGACATTCTTCCCACTGACCCCCAATGTAAGGGACATTCTTCCCACTGACCCCCAATGTAAGGGACATTCTTCCCACTGACCACCAATGTAAGGGACATTCTTCCCACTGACCCCCAATGTAAGGGACATTCTTCCCACTGACCACCAATGTAAGGGACATTCTTCCCACTGACCCCCAATGTAAGGGACATTCTTCCCACTGACCCCCAATGTAAGAGACATTCTTCCCACTGATCACCAATGTAAGGGACATTCTTCCCACTGACCACCAATGTAAGGGACATTCTTCCCACTGACCACCAATGTAAGGGACATTCTTCCCACTGACCCCCAATGTAAGGGACATTCTTCCCACTGACCCCCAATGTAAGGGACATTCTTCCCACTGACCACCAATGTAAGGGACATTCTTCCCACTGACCCCCAATGTAAGGGACATTCTTCCCACTGACTCCCAATGTAAGGGACATTCTTCCCACTGACCCCCAATGTAAGGGACATTCTTCCCACTGACCCCCAATGTAAGGGACATTCTTCCCACTGACCCCCAATGTAAGGGGCCCTTCTCCACTGACCACCAATGTAAGGGACATTCTTCCCACTGACCCCCAATGTAAGGGACATTCTTCTCACTGACCCCCAATGTAAGGGACATTCTTCTCACTGACCCCCAATGTAAGAGACATTCTTCCCACTGACCCCCAATGTAAGGGACATTCTTCCCACTGACCCCCCCAATGTAAGGAGCATTCTTCCCACTGACCCCCAATGTAAGGGACATTCTTCCCACTGACCCCCCAATGTAAGGGGCCCTTCTCCACTGACCCCCAATGTAAGGGACATTCTTCCCACTGACCCTCAATGTAAGGGACATTCTTCCCAATGACCCCCAATGTAAGGGACATTCTTCCCACTGACCCCCAATGCAAGGAGCATTTAATCCACATTCCCCATAGTAATGAGAGGGTGGTGAGTATCACATACCTGAGTGAGGCCCGAGGCTCTGAGAAGCTCCTGTGGAGAACGACTGCCGAACAGGAACTGGTTGGGGGGGGTGTAGGCCCAGAATTCGTGAATAGACTTTGTTCCTGACCTGCAAACAAAAAAAAATGACTTAATTTATAGTAAATGTTGAGTATTTAAAACATTATAATGATGAAAATTATAAAAACGTAGTAAAAAAATGTTAATAAAATTTTATTTAATAAATCCATACTTCTTTACCTAGGCTACAGTACTAAAGTGGACTTTAGAAGTGAAAATTTGTCATCTTACAGGGAACATCTAAAAAATGTTCATTGTGTCCAAACACGATCTACTTATTATTGTGAATTTCTGATGAAAAGGAGCCGAGCACTTCCTGTGCCTCATAGCTGTGCATCTGCAGTGTGAGATCACCTAAGGCACTGCTTCCTCACCTGATTTGGAGAGAGATTTGGGGATGTCAGCACTGAGCTGCTCACTGTTCTCCTTGCTGGAGAGGAAGCTGTACCTGAGGACCTGCAGTGCAAGGATCTCCCTGCTTCTGCTTCACCCATTCTGTGGAGCTGACCTTCCTCCCCTTCTATCATTACCCCACCAGTCATCAGATCATCGGTCACACACAGTACAGAACAAGACATTGGAAGTCCATATTGGGCAGTAAATACCTTCTTCTTAAAATTGACGAAGTAGTTGGCTTGGTCGATGAAAAAGAATTCCAGAGCGGACCTTCGGAGATTGTAGCGGCGCAGGTGGACCTCGCGGAGCTGTGAGAGCGGACGCTTAAAATCGTAACCAATTCCTGGCCGGGGGAAAAGACGGGTCAGAAATTTCCGGTACTTCCTGAACGTTCCGCTACTGTAGATTTTAAGCTTTTTTTTCTCCTTTTACTTTACACCCCGTCCTCCCTACACTCTACCCTTTTACACCCCGTCCTCCCTACACTCTACCCTTTTACACCCCGTCCTCCCTACACTCTACCCTTTTTTACACCCCGTCCTCCTTACACTCTACCCCTTTTACACCCCGTCCTCCCTACACTCTACCCTTTTACACCCCAACCTCCTTACACTCTACCCTTTTACACCCCGTCCTCCCTACACTCTACCCTTTTACACCCCGTCCTCCTTACACTCTACCCTTTTACACCCCAACCTCCTTACACTCTACCCTTTTACACCCAGTCCTCCTTACACTCTACCCCTTTTACACCCCGTCCTCCTTACACTCTACCCTTTTACACCCCAACCTCCTTACACTCTACCCTTTTACACCCCGTCCTCCTTACACTCTACCCTTTTACACCCAGTCCTCCTTACACTCTACCCCTTTTACACCCCGTCCTCCTTACACTCTACCCTTTTACACCCCAACCTCCTTACACTCTACCCTTTTACACCCCGTCCTCCCTACACTCTACCCTTTTACACCCCAACCTCCTTACACTCTACCCTTTTACACCCCGTCCTCCTTACACTCTACCCTTTTACACCCCGTCCTCCTTACACTCTACCCCTTTTACACCCCGTCCTCCTTACACTCTACCCTTTTACACCCCAACCTCCTTACGCTCTACCCCTTTTACACCCCGTCCTCCTTACACTCTACCCCTTTTACACCCCAACCTCCTTACATTCTGTCCTTCTTGCACCCCATCCTCTTTACACCCTAACCTCTTTAAAACTAGTCCTTTTTACACCCCATCCTCCGTGCACTACAACCTCTTTACACTCTACCCTTCTTGCACCGTGTTCTCTTTGCACCCCAAACTCTTTACACTCTACCCTCTTTGCACCCTGTCCTTTTTACACCCCATCCTCCTTGCACCCAGTGCTCCTTAGACCCCAACCACTTTACACCCAGTCCCTTTTACACCCCACCCCCGCCTTGCGCCCAAACCTCTTTACACTCTATTGTCCTTGCAACTCAATCCCTTTACACTCTGCCCTCTTTACACCCCATCCTACATGCACCCCAACCTCTTTACACCCATTCCTTTTTACACCCCACCCGCCTTGTACCCCCAACTTCTTTACACTGCACCCTCTTTACACCTAGTCCTTTTTACACCCTAACCTCTTTACACTCTACCCCCCCTTGCGCCCCAACTGTTTTACACCCCATCCTCTTTTCACTCTACCCTCCTTGGATCTGACCTTCCTTGCACCCCGACCTCTTTACACTCTACCCTCCATACATCCCATCCTCCTCACACCCCATCCTCTTTTCAGTCCAACCTCTTTACACTCTACCCTCCTTGCACCCCAAACTCTTTACAATCTACCCTTCTTGCACCCCAACCTCTTTACACTCTACCCTCCGTACATCCCATCCTCCCTACACCCCAACCTCTTTACACTCTACCCTTGCACCCCAACCTTTTTATACCCCATCCTCTTCACTCTACCCTTCTTGGACCCAATCCTCCTTGCACCCCGACCTCTTTACACTCTACCCTCTGTACATCCCATCCTCCTTACACCCCATTCTCTTTACACTCGATGCTCCTTGGACCCCATCCTCCTTTCACCCTTGTCCCCCTTGCACTCTTTCATCTTTATACTCTGTAACCTTTACACGTTGTACACTCTCTGTAGACCCATCATGGAGAATGGACACTGATATTTGCCCGTTATGACAAGGGCCCTGGGTTCCTCTTATGTTTGGTTCCAAGTGGACCAATCTCCTAGGAAATAATAGGACAGGCTGAGAACTGCAGCAGAGCCGGGTCTCACCCTCCTCGGTCTCCTCCTTCTCACTGCTCAGGTCGTAGAAGTAAATGTGCTGTGTGGTGACCTCCAGCCTCCCGGGAATGACGTCCACGACGGTGATCAGCTCGCAGTCCTCCGAAATCACCAACTTCTCCTTCTGGTTGGGCTCTTTGGTCTCCTCGCTGCAAGAGGCAGGAGAGATGGTCATAAGGACCCGCCATCATGCAGTCTGAGGCGGGAAAAATTCTTGGTTTCCAACCACCTCCCACCAAATGGCGCTCATCCCCAACCATGGTGGACAGGAACAAGAGATGTAGAACGTCTGACATTGGAACGTAGAAAGAGCCAACTTGGGCATGGCTGGCCGCGTGTTCTCCCTTCCTCCCAGCTCTGATCCTCCCCACCTCAGAATCTCATTTCCCAGCTACAAAACAGATGTTCTCACTCCACAGCGAGGTCTCCCAGCCACAATTCCCACTCAGTTCCTATCTACTTGGGAATTTTGGTCCACCATTTGTGTTCCCCTGGGGGAACCCCTCAGAATGGGCACAGCAGGTGTACAGACAGGGGAACTCAGCACAGGGATGGTGGGAACCCCACATAATGGGCACAGCAGGTGTACAGACCACGGAACTCGGCACAGGGATGGTGGGAACCCCTCATAATGGGCACAGCAGGTGTACAGACCACGGAACTCGGCACAGGGATGGTGGGAACCCCTCATAATGGGCACAGCAGGTGTACAGACCGGGGAACTTGGCACAGGGATGGTGGGAACCCCTCATAATGGGCGCAGCACGTGTACAAACCCGGGAACTCAGCACAGGGATGGTGGGAACTACTCATAATGAGCACAGTGGGTGTACAGACCCGGGAACTCAGCACAGGGATGATGGGAATCCCTCATAATGGGCACAGCGGGTGCACAGACCCGGGAACTCGGCACAGGGATGGTGGGAACCCCTCTTAATGGGCACAGCAGGTATACAGACCCAGGAACTCAGCACAGGGACGGTGGGAACCCCTCATAATGGACACAGCATGTGTACAGAGCCAGGAAATTTCAGGTCTTACTGATAAATGTTCATCAAATCTTCATCGGCCAGCTGGTCGTCCTCCATCTCGTTCACCTTCGCCTCCTTGGCCACAGCGAGCGGGAATGAATCGGTGAGGGTCTGACTCTGATCGGTACCTGGACAGGAGGAGACCAGACAACACCCTCAGACTCTCCACTCCCATGTCCCTCAACCAGAACCACCATCCACGCCCCACCCAGAACCGCCATCCGCGCCCCACCCAGAACCGCCTTCCGCCCCCCTACCCCCCAGAACCGCCATCCGCGCCCCACCCCAGAACCACCATCCGCCCCCCTACCCCCCAGAACCGCCATCCGCGCCCCACCCCAGAACCGCCATCCGCGCCCCACCCCAGAACCGCCATTCGCGCCCCCCACCCCAGAACCGCCATTCGCGCCCCACCCCAGAACCGCCATCCGCCTCCCTACCCCAGAACCGCCATCCGCCTCCCTACCCCCCAGAACCGCCATCCGCGCCCCACCCCCCAGAACCGCCATCCGCGCCCTACCCCAGAATCGCCATCCGCGCCCCACCCAGAACCGCCATCCGCGCCCCACCCAGAACCGCCATCCGCGCCCCCCGCCAAAACTGCGGACTCACCTAGGTTATCGCGGAGTGCGCTGGCTTCTGCGTGAGCGTCAAAGTTGTAATTTGGCACCAATTTCAGCCGCATTCTGGAATAGGTCTCCGCACTGGACAGCTTCCATCGAACCTCCGCCGGGCTCCTGACACGTGGAGAAGGCAAGAAAAATCCTTAGAAAACCTAAACCCATTTTCATGGGAGGGAAGGGGTGGGGCCTGGGACAGTAAGGCTGGGGAGGTAAAGGGTGGGGCCTGGGACAGAAAGGGGTGGGGCCTGGGACAGAAAGGGGTGGGGCCTGGGACAGTCAGGCTGGGGGGAAAGGGGGTGGGGTCAGGGAGGAAAGGGCTGGGGCCAGGGACCGTCAGGCTAGGGAGGAATGGGGTGGGGCCGGGGACCGTCAGGCTGGGGAGGAAAGGGGTGGGGCCGGGGAGGAAAGGGGTGGGGCCGGGGACAGTCGGGCCGGGGAGGAAAGGGGTGGGGCCGGGGACAGTCGGGCCGGGGAGGAAAGGGGTGGGGCCGGGGACAGTCGGGCCGGGGAGGAAAGGGGTGGGGCCGGGGACAGTCGGGCCGGGGAGGAAAGGGGTGGGGCCGGGGAGGAAAGGGGTGGGGCCGGGGACAGTCGGAAGGGGGCCGGGGACAGTCGGGCCGGGAAGGAAAGGGGTGGGACCGGGGACAGTCGGGCCGGGGAGGAAAGGGGTGGGGCCGGGGACAGTCGGGCCGGGGAGGAAAGGGGTGGGGCTGGGGAGGAAAGGGGTGGGGCCGGGGAGGAAAGGGGTGGGGCCGGGGGGGGGGGGTGGGGCCGGGGAGGAAAGGGGTGGGGCCGGGGACAGTCGGGCCGGGGAGGAAAGGGGTGGGGCCGGGGACAGTCGGGCCGGGGAGGAAAGGGGTGGGGCCGGGGAGGAAAGGGGTGGGGCCAGGGAGGAAAGGGGTGGGTCCAGGGACAGTTGGGCCGGGGAGGAAAGGGGTGGGGCCGGGGAGGAAAGGGGTGGGGCCAGGGACAGTCGGGCCGGGGAGGAAAGGGGTGGGGCCAGGGACAGTCGGGCCGGGGAGGAAAGGGGTGGGGCCAGGGACAGTCGGGCCGGGGAGGAAAGGGGTGGGGCCAGGGACAGTCGGGGCCGGGGAGGAAAGGGGTGGGGCCAGGGACAGTCGGGCTGGGGAGGAAAGGGGTGGAGTTGGGGAGGAAAGGGGTAGGCCAGGGACAGTCAGGCTGGGGAAGAAAGGGGTGGGGCCAGGGACAGTCAGGCTGGGGAAGAAAGGGGTGGGGCCAGGGACAGTCAGGCTGGGGAGGAACGAGCTAGATGATGTCGGACGTCCTCCAGCCAGGAAATGAGGCGGAGCTCTATCTGACTTGCTGCGGCTTCTAATGCATATTGTGAGAAGCTCCCAGTGTGCGGTGACATCAGAGGAAGCCGTTCCAGTCAGGGGGAGGAGCCGGTAGAACTGCAGATTTAAGGGGGAGAAGCAACTTTTCTCCTAAGAGCCATAACCTCAGAGGTCAGCTGCTTCCTCAATTGATGATTTATTTATTTTTTAAAGGTGCAGGCCCATCCGATTTCCCTGCTTGGAGATTCACTGATCTGGAACAAGCATGTAACCAGTGAAGGAAAAGCTCCGAGTGTCTGCCCCGCATTGCTAGTTCCAGGACAGAAGCCCGGATGACTGACACTCCCAGAGCTTGCACCTTCAAAAGCCAAATCAGCGACAATAGCTGCCAATCGCCGTTCTCCTCCTGCCAAGGAGCTCAATACTCTACAATGGGGCTGGAGCATCACTTTGTCATTTATCTGGGACCCCGAAATGTGCCGAAAAGGGACCTCAATCCTGAGACAAAAGATGTGACGGTAGGACTCCTCCCTCAGCACTCAATACGTGCCCCCCCCCCCCCCCCCCCCCCCCACTTACCGATCGGCCCAGGCCCCGCGCGGGCACAGGTCAGCAGGCGCAGCACAGACTTCCATTGTCTCAGGACCGTGTTGTGGTGGCTGTTGATCTGTTTCAGCACGCTGTTATATCGCACGTTCTCCCGCAAGATCCTCTTCAGAACCGGCTCCAGGATCAGCTCCTATAACACAAGAAAATCCATTCACGCCGGTCAGAATCTTCAGAACCCAGGATGGGAATTCGCGGGTTTTTACTACCAAAGTCCAGATTTCAAATTCAGTGAAATGTTGGTACCTAGCAGGGATTTGGATAGGTCCTAAGTACTGAGGTCCCTATACCAATATGGTGGCAACATACCCATACCTATTGAGGTACTTTATTTATCACTCTCATTATATAGATCTACTGTATTTTGTAGGTTAGACTATCCCTACAATGGACCAGCCCTAGGTTAGACACTCCCTACAATGGACCAGCCCTAGGTTAGACTATCCCTACAATGGACCAGCCCTAGGTTAGACTATCCCTACAATGGACCAGTCCTAGGTTAGACTATCCCTACAATGGACCAGTCCTAGGTTAGACTATCCCTACAATGGACCAGTCCTAGGTTAGACTATCCCTACAATGGACCAGCCCTAGGTTAGACTATCCCTACAATGGACCAGTCCTAGGTTAGACTATCCCTACAATGGACCAGCCCTAGGTTAGACTATCCCTACAATGGACCAGCCCTAGGTTAGACTATCCCTACAATGGACCAGCCCTAGGTTAGACTATCCCTACAAAGGACCAGCCCTAGGGTGGACTATCCCTACAATGGACCAGCCCTAGGTTAGACTATCCCTACAATGGACCAGCCCTAGGTTAGACTATCCCTACAATGCACAAGCCCTAGGTTAGACTATCCCTACAATGGACCAGCCCTAGGTTAGACTATCCCTACAATGGACCAGTCCTAGGTTAGACTATCCCTACAATGGACCAGTCCTAGGTTAGACTATCCCTACAATGGACCAGTCCTAGGTTAGACTATCCCTACAATGGACCAGCCCTAGGTTAGACTATCCCTACAATGGACCAGTCCTAGGTTAGACTATCCCTACAATGGACCAGCCCTAGGTTAGACTATCCCTACAATGGACCAGCCCTAGGTTAGACTATCCCTACAATGGACCAGTCCTAGGTTAGACTATCCCTACAATGGACCAGCCCTAGGTTAGACTATCCCTACAATGGACCAGCCCTAGGTTAGACTATCCCTACAATGGACCAGCCCTAGGTTAGACTATCCCTACAATGGACCAACCCTAGGGTGGACTATCCCTACAATGGACCAGCCCTAGGTTAGACTATCCCTACAATGGACCAACCCTAGGTTAGATTATCCCTACAATGGACCAGCCCTAGGTTAGACTATCCCTACAATGGACCAGTCCCTAGGTTAGACTATCCCTACAATGGACCAGTCCTAGGTTAGACTATCCCTACAATGGACCAGTCCTAGGTTAGACTATCCCTACAATGGACCAGTCCTAGGTTAGACTATCCCTACAATGGACCAGCCCTAGGTTAGACTATCCCTACAATGGACCAGCCCTAGGTTAGACACTCCCTACAATGGACCAGCCCTAGGTTAGACTATCCCTACAATGGACCAGCCCTAGGTTAGATTATCCCTACAATGGACCAGCCCCTAGGTTAGACTATCCCTACAATGGACCAGCCCTAGGTTAGACTATCCCTACAATGGACCAGTCCTAGGTTAGACTATCCCTACAATGGACCAGTCCTAGGTTAGACTATCCCTACAATGGACCAGTCCTAGGTTAGACACTCCCTACAATGGACCAACCCTAGGTTAGACACTCCCTACAATGGACCAACCCTAGGTTAGATTATCCCTACAATGGACCAGCGATAGGTTAGACACTCCCTACAATGGACCAACCCTAGGTTAGACTATCCCTACAATGGACCAACCCTAGGTTAGACACTCCCTACAATGGACCAACCCTAGGTTAGACTATCGCTATAAATAAATAAATAAATTTACTTCATAAAAGAACATAATGGGCTCCAAAAAAAAAATAAGGAAAATAAAAAAAAAACGAACGCCAATCCTCTTACCTTAAATTTGTCTCTGCTCTCTCCCTTCTCGGTCTCCCTTCTTAACGAGCTGCTCATAAGTGCATCGTAGCACGAGTTCCAGAAGGAGGACATCTGGTTGTGACTCTTCGCAAATGTGTCCTTCTCAAACTGCTCCATGGTGGGCTGGACCTGAGGAGAGGGGTCAAACCTGTGATATCAGAAGGGTCCAATCACAATGCTCCAATGTAAGGCGGGAAACGAAGCCAAAAGACAAATACAAGAGGGAAAAGAAAAAGAGGGAAAAGCAAAAAAAAAAAAAAAAGGAAAAAAAAAAAAAGAAACAATTTGGGAAAAGGAGAAAAAAATAAGGAAGGGTATAAAGAAAGCAATGGAATGTAAGCAAAAATAAAATAAAATATATAAATGACAGCAGAGAAGAAACTAGGGAGACTAACTCTAGAACAGACCATCCCTTTGGTAGAGAAGCCCCATGGTAAACCAGTCCTAGGGTGGGTAGACTATCCATCCCTGTGATGGACCAGCCCTAGGTTAGACTATCCCTACTATGGGCCAGCCCTAGGTTAGACTATCTCTACTATGGACCAGTCCTAGGTTAGACTATCCCTACAATGGACCAGCCTTAGGTTAGACTAGTTCTACTATGGACCAGTCCTAGGTTAGACTATCCCTACAATGGACCAGCCTTAGGTTAGACTAGTTCTACTATGGACCAGTCCTAGGTTGGACTAGTTCTAATATGGACCAGTCCTAGGTTGGACTAGTTCTACTATGGACCAGTCCTAGGTTGGACTAGTTCTAATATGGACCAGTCCTAGGTTGGACTAGTTCTACTATGGACCAGCCCTAGGTTTGACTATCCCTACAATGGACCAGCACTAGGTTAGACTAGTTCTACTACGGACAAGTCCTAGGTTGGACTAGTTCTACTATGGACCAGCCCTAAGTTAGACTAGGTCTACTATGGATCAGTCCTAGGTTAGACTATCCCGAATATGGACCAGCCCTAGATTAGACTAGTTCTACTATGGATCAGTCCTAGGTTAGACTATCCCGAATATGGACCAGCCCTAGATTAGATTATCCCAACTATGGACCAGCCCTAGGTTAGACTAGTTCTACTACGGACAAGTCCTAGGTTGGACTAGTTCTACTATGGACCAGCCCTAAGTTAGACTAGGTCTACTATGGACCAGCCCTAGGTTAGATTATCCCAACTATGGACCAGCCCTAGGTTAGACTAGTTCTACTACGGACAAGTCCTAGGTTGGACAAGTTCTACTATGGACCAGCCCTAAGTTAGACTAGTTCTACTATGGACCAGCCCTAGGTTAGACTAGGTCTACTATGGACCAGCCCTAGGTTAGACTAGGTCTACTTTGGACCAGCCCTAGGTTAGACTAGGTCTACTTTGGACCAGCCCTAGGTTGGACTAGGTCTACTTTGGACCAGCCCTAGGTTAGACTAGGTCTACTTTGGACCAGCCCTAGGTTAGACTAGGTCTACTTTGGACCAGCCCTAGGTTGGACTAGGTCTACTTTGGACCAGCCCTAGGTTGGACTAGTGCTACTATGGATCAGCCCTAGGTTAGATTATTCCAACTATGGACCATCCCTACTGTTGACCAGCCTTACTGTAGGCCAGCACTAGGGTATACTAGCATGGAGGAGAAATTAGAAAGGAGATGAAAGTAAACTGAAGCTGAAAAAAAAGAAAAACATAATAAAAACATGATAGAACATCTGTTGGGGTCACATGCTTCCCATGCAATGAATAAGTGCCCTTACATGTTTCTCAATGAAGAGCCCCCACTCAGTGGTGGTGCAGAAACTCTGGAAATCCTCATAGAAGGTGGGGCTTCCATTGGTAGGCGGCAGAGATGGCAAATATTGCTGCAGCTGTAGTAGCTCGAAGCACTGGTCCATCAACGTGCGGATAATGGGCACCAGGCAGGAGAAGGTCTCTGTCTTGGCGTTAAGGGATTTCAGGAGTGGAGTCTGCAGGTTCCCCAGCAGGAAACAGGCCTCTTCCTTCTTCAGCGAGGTGGCACTTTGGAGGAGATTGTGCAGCTTTACATAGGCTGACGAATGCATCTAATGGGGACAAGCAGGATTTACTCAACAAGGCAGCAGAAGTGGACACACATTCAAAGGACATCCTCCAGCCAGGAAATGAGGCGGAGCTCTATCTGACTGGCTGCAGCTTCTAATGCACATTGTGAGAGGTTCACAGTGTGCAGTGACTTTAGAATAAGCAATTTCTGTTGAGGAGAGCAGCTGGTACAACTGTGCAGGACTGCAGGGAAGTTGGAGGTCAGATATAATCAAGATAATATACAGACCATTTCCGCATTATTCACCACTTCCCGTCCGGCCCATGTATATAAAACGGCCTCCCCGCCCCCTGCTTGTGCACGCTCCCTGTCCTCCAGACACAGCGGAACACCGATCGTCGGACGGGGCCTCTGTGGTAGGTCCCGATCATGTGATCACTGATTGGCCAATCAGTGATCACATGCAGAGTAGTAAGCAATGATGTCACTTCTGACATCATTGCTTACTACGTGTGAAATCTGTGAATGATTCACAACAGCCTTGTACCATGTGACAAGTTGTGACCTATCACAGCTCATACAGTAGTTCTCAATGGCTGCAGGAATGCAGCCAGAGAGAAGGAGAAATGATTCTTCTTACAGCCTTTATGGGTGTAAAAGCAATCAGTGTAAAAAAAAAAAATCTTCATCACCCCCCACAAGTAGTACAGTGTCACCATGGTGACCCTACTGCTAGGGTGACAGTATGTAAAAAAAAAAACAAAAAAAAAAAAAAAATTTAAAAAAAGTTTAAAAATTATAATTTTTGGTTATAAACTAATTTGGGTTTTTTTTTTTTTTTACTAAAAATAAATTTTGGCCAAGATTTATGATGAAATATTATTTATTTGCAAAATTTTATAAGAAAAAACACTTTTTTTTTTAAAAATTTCCCAGCGGTGAATAAATACCACCAAAATAAAGTTTTATCTGTCTAAAAAAAAAAAATATGCTAAAACATTCATATGGGTACAGTGTTGCATGACCGCGAAATTGTCATTCAAAGTGTGATAGCGCTGAAAGCTGAAAATTGGCCTGGGGGTGAAGGGGTGAAAGTGTCCGGACTGGAAGGGGGTGGAAAGTGTCCGGACTGGAAGGGGTGGAAAGTGTCCGGACTGGAAGGGGGTGGAAAGTGTCCGGACTGGAAGGGGGTGGAAAGTGTCCGGACTGGAAGGGGGTGGAAAGTGTCCGGACTGGAAGGGGGTGGAAAGTGTCCGGACTGGAAGGGGGTGGAAAGTGTCCGGACTGGAAGGGGGTGGAAAGTGTCCGGACTGGAAGGGGGTGGAAAGTGTCCGGACTGGAAGGGGTGGAAAGTGTCCGGACTGGAAGGGGGTGGAAAGTGTCCGGACTGGAAGGGGGTGGAAAGCGTCCGGACTGGAAGGGGGTGGAAAGCGTCCGGACTGGAAGGGGGGTGGAAAGCGTCCGGACTGGAAGGGGGTGGAAAGCGTCCGGACTGGAAGGGGGGGAAAGTGTCCGGACTGGAAGGGGGGGAAAGTGTCCAGACTGGAAGTGGTTAAAGGAACAGTCCACCCAAACAAGATACTTCAGTTACGTCAGTCAGCCCCGATGCCTATGGACGTTCCAGCCATGAGCTCCTCATAATTCCAGGCTTTGTTCCCGTCTACCTGGGGCAGGGACAAACCTTTGTGCCTTCCCGTCATCCTATTGTTTCCCCATTCAGCATCTCCTGTTATATCTATAATAGAGAATAACTAAAAATCCAGCATGTATTTTCATAAGCTTTCATGAGGGCCACAGCAGGAACTAATCAGGAGAAAGAGTCCCCAAATGGTGGAAGAAACCATCAGGCGGTTTCCAGTCTCCAGCGCTGAATTCTTAGCTTTGGTTGGACTTCTCATTTTCATTGAGCCAACATGGCTGTTCCCTTCACTTCTGTATTTGGATCGTTCTCATCAAACATCAGTTGGTTACGCGGACGCAGGGGCGTATTTACCACAAGGCAAACAAGGCTCTTGCCTAGGGCGGCATTTTTCAGGGGGGCAGCACCTCTCCCCAGAAGAAGGGAACCAGTTGGGATCCGTGAGAGGCTGCGGGCTGCTTGATGGTGTATGTACAGCCTGACTCTCGTTCCTGGGGATGTCCGGAGCTGTGAAGATGGGTGTATTTTTCTCGTCGGAGGGGGGTTGTAGAAGGCTCTCCCAGGTGGAGGAGCATGGGTGTTGTTGGTCATGGTCAGGCTCTGTCCACAGGAGGGGGAAGTGGTGGTGGTGTTGGTCGGGGTCCATGGGGGCAGACGATTTTTGTGTTGCCTAGGGCAGCACAAAACCTAAATACACCACTGGGGAGATGGCAGGGGGTTATTAGAGCACCAAATGAACCACACAGCTGGTGGACCTACCGATGCCCCTGTTAGGGTGAGTCTCCTCTTTTCAGAGGTTTTGGTATTTTTGCACTTTTATTGGTTTCTCCTTTTTTTTTAAGTATTTTCTGTTGTTTTGTATCCATATAGTGCTCCTATGGGCTCCCTGTGGCTGCCAGGATCTCCTATCGCCTACCTACTGGACTGGGTCGTTCTGCGCACTTACCTCGTGGTTTTAGCCTCTTTCACACAGGCCACTTAAGATCATATGACTCCGGAGTAACGTGGCCTTTTTAGGATTGCCTTTGGGCATGCGTGGAGTTTTGATATCACTTATTGTGTTTGGTTCCTCTAAAAGGTCTGAGAAATAGCCCCCCCACCCCCCCCCCCCCAGAAAGAGCAATTCTAGAAACGTGTCAGGCTTTGGGCTCCATTGATTCTGGATTGTTGACGGGTTCAAAATGACCCCCCCCTCCGAGTTGGGGGCAAATACAACCCATGATGAGGGTTAGGCACTTTATTGTTACAAATATGTTTTTATAGATGTAATATAAATCTAACCAGAATGTCTGATGAGCAATCCATGAATATATGTTTTATGTATATTTGTGCAGCTAATGTGGCTCTTTTAGCACTTCCAGTCCCGACGCTTTCCCCCCCCCTTCCAGTCCCGACGCTTTCCCCCCCTTCCAGTCCAGACGCTTTCCCCCCCTTCCAGTCCAGACGCTTCCCCCCCCTTCCAGTCCA